AACAATGTTGTCATAAATACATTTTCATATCAGCAATGGGCAGTCTTCCGTCAAAAGGGCTGGTTGAGCATGGGCTGTCATTGCAGTTAATAAATACAGTGCCATAGCAGAAAATCACGGGAAACTGATTATTTTGAGAATAAGCAGTTGGAATATACATGCATTTTGAGAATAATACATTTGGAATGAAACAGTGGAAAGATTAGGGAGAAGAGAACTCCTGTTCTCTTTTCACTAATGAATAAATAGGATTGTTTTGTGTTCAGAGGCAGCTGGCAGGATGTGTGAGAGAAGTTTCTTGCAGGTGATAGATCCAAACATTTTAGTACACAAAGGGTGTAAGCAGCTCATTTCTGTGAATTCTRGTGATGAGCCTGAAGATACAATTATGAGCACCTTTGATGAACAGATGTATCTGACATTCATTAGTRTGCCATTGTGGATTTATTCAGCTCCACCACTAGAAGAGAAAACCCTCAGTAATGTTTCCTACCTCTCTTTAGCAACAGAAAACCTATGGCTTAGCTGGTGCTAGCACCAGAAATTACAACCCTCACCATCCAACCTGATCTATTCTGCCTCGTGTATGATTTTTGTGAAATATTTCATAAATGGGCAAATCACAACATTTGGCTYAGAGGCAGAGCAGCATTTGCACCCTGACAGGAGAGGATTGCAAACAGGCTGTTCACAAGAGAGGAATCTGAGTGGGAGTRGGGAAATGCACTTAAAATGCAGCACCTTTTCCAGTGCTTTGTGTGTAATGGCAGAACTCCAAAGGACATTCCTCTGCACCATTTCTGCCCTTCTCCCGAGTGCTCTTGCATGAATAAGTGATTTAGCAAGAAAGTGGTCAGTCCTGCAGGGTTCATTTTAGCCCAGTCCTTATGGAAAATCATTGAGCACTTTGGACTGCAAAGTGGGTTCCAAAGTGCAGTGTGAGCTGCCTCTGTTATCTTTAATTACTCACAAACCATATGTCAGATGTGTGTGAAGGCATTGAATTGGATGTCCCTAAGTGGTGATTTATTGTTAACCAAAAAAATTACATATGGAAATGGGCTCAGTTTGAAAATACCTACATGGAGGAGAAATGGGGACAGTCAGTTTATAGCAAAGCATCCTTGAAAATAAAAGTGTGATAAGTATGTAAATGAGACCAATCAACATCAACAAAACTGTGGTATTTGCAGATGAWATAGCAAACAGATAAAATTTGAAATAGCTCACAAATCCTAAACCTAACCCATAAAACATTCATCAGAAATATCCATGATAATGTAGGGGCAAAAAAGTGGGTAATCAAATAATAGATTTGCATATAAAAACACAGCCTTTGTATGAAAGCCTTTTTACTCTTGCAAGATCATGCACAGAAAGAAAGATTAAGCAAACTGTAGCCTATTTAAGGAAAACAGCTATTAATAATGTGATATCTCCATATGGTAAAAAGTGGATAGCCTGATGTATACAAATGAGACACTTCAGTGTCGTGTGTGTGTGCTCCCCTAGAACTGAGCAGACGARAAATGAAGAGTGACAACATTTGCTGAATGTGTTACTGGAGAAAAACAGCATCTTCTGCAGTCCAGCAAAGCTGTACTTGGGATTTTTATCACTAATTCATCATTCCTAAGTGTGTTTCTGAGAACAGGGTTGGTTTTAAAGCCCAGAATTTGGAGGGAAATGGCGGCTTTTGGAATCATCCATAGGGGATGAGGCAGGTGGTTACAGGCTGGAAATGTGATGGTCAGAGGCTGTCCTGGGCACAGCAGAATTTGGCCTGTGTAGGACACTGGTTCAGAGTCCCTTGGGAAAGAGTTCTTAATAAAAAAGGGGTTCAGAAAGTCTGGAAATATTTCAAGAAGTAGGTCTTAAAGGCACTGGAGCTGGTGGTCCTTATGTGCCAAAAGATGAGCTGTCGGGGAATAACACTGACCTGGCTGGACACAGAGCTTKTGCAGGAACCCCAGGAAAAAATAGAGTTTATGACCTTTGGAAAGGTCAGGCAACTCAGGCAGCTCAGGAAGAATACAAGGATATTGTTAGGTCATGTAGAGAGAAAATTAGAAAGGCAAAAGCTCAGTTAGAACTCAATCTGGCCACTGCTGTGAAAGGTAATAAACAGCGTTTTTATAAATTATTAATGACAAAAGAAGGGCCAAGGAAAAGTTCATTTCTTTAGTGGAGCCAGGGGAAACCAAGGATGAGGAGAACATTGAGGTACTTAATTTGAAGGCTTTCTTTGCCTCAGTCTTTAACAGAAAGAATGGTTATCCTCAGAACATCTCCTGGAAGGAGCCAGGTGGGGTTGGTCTCATCTCCCAGGAAAATAGGACAAGAGGAAATGGCCTCAAGCTTTGCCAGGGGAGGACAAGGCTGGACCAGGAAGAATTTCAGATTTTTCAGAAAGGATTTCAAGGCATTGGAATGAGCTGCCCATGGAAGTGATGGGATCCCCATCCCTGAAAATGTTCAAGGACTGGATGTGACCCTTAGTGCTGTGGTTGAGTTGGCAGGGTGGTGCTCAAAGGTGGGACTGGGTGATTATGGAGGTCCCAATGATCCCTTAGAACTCAGAACATTCTGTGCAATACCTGTCTTTTCCAAATTTAATGACTCTAAGTTAGATCAGAGATGAGTCCTCCATAAAAATCCTGTTATATTTCCATTCAAAGTGAATGAAAGCTTTTGAACACAGTGACCAAAAATTTCTGGTTTGCAAAGAAAAATAATTCAATAATATTTTCCTGCTTTCTCTAGGCATTCTAATACCTTCTGATACAAACTGCTGAGTCCTTTAAATAGATACATTTTGCCAGAAAATATCAAATACTTTCAGTTAGGCTCCAGTCAGGGTACCCAAGCAAGGTCTCACTTGTTTTTTTATTTGGACTGTCCAAGAACTTTCTGGAATGGACACTACTGACCATGATTCACAATGGAAAAAACAACGTGACTTGGAAATGTTGGCATGGAGCTGTTCATCTGACCTCCCTG